ATGTTTTTATTTTGAGTTAATGTAGTTTAATATTCATCAATGACATTTAAGTGTTCGAAAAAAGCATTGGTTTTCTTTTTATTCTAATATTCATTGATGACACTTGTTATAACCCAATTCTGGCTTATTAGCTTTTAATTTAATTTTACAGGGGTTAAAATATAAAATTAAAAGATTAAAGATTTATTTAGTAGAAAAATATAATTTGTCAACTTACACGAAAACTATATATTATAATGTACTTTTGTTATTATAACCTTATTATCAAGATAATGGTAGATATTTGCTTTCAAATTTGATTCTTAATCAATTTTAAATTTCAAAGAATAGAATGAGTTTATTTAAAATTTTATTTTTCACACACAATGAGATTCATACACTATAAATACATATGTGAGCACATCCACACAATGAAGCACCAAAGTCATGTATGAGTAATATGGTAATTTGGCGGCTAACTGCCATGGATTTTAGGCTTTGGAGATTTGAAAAAAATATTTTTTTGGGCAGCAATATGACCATTAGCGAGAGGGTTTAGGATTTAAGGATAACTAGAAGCAATAATTTTTAGAGTTGAAGAAATCCCTAACTGAGTCTTTATCCTATAAGCTATAACATGAGCATCTCCATGTGGTGCTTCATGTGAGTTATGGGTCTTTGTGCAGTGATGAAGATGATAAAATTTGAAGTTAGGTTGGGTATAAGAGAACATGGAGGCTACTTGTTAGCCTCAAAGTACGGGTCAAATAAGAATGGATGGTGTCATTTTCTTACAATCTAAGCAAATATATCATATCATCTTTCTCTCTCATTTTCTTACAATCTAAGCAAATATATCAAATAAGAATGGATGGAGTTTTACTCAAAGTTTTATACGCACACACATATATATATATATATATATATATCATATCATATCTTGTCACTTGTCAATTTCTGCTTTAATCCCCTCCAAAACTATATACCTTTCTCTCATTTTCATCACCCGCTTTGATATAACCTTCCTCAAATCTCATCCTTCTTCAAGTTGTATCATTTAATGATTTAAATAGTTTTTGTATTTGGTACAAAAAAATTGTTATGGTACAACAGTTGTTTCTCAATCTAATGTCAAAACTATAAGAAATATCAAAGAGATGTACTAATTTATGAACCCTCATAACTTGATTGATTTTATATATTCTTAAGAAAAATTAAGAGAGATATGAATATTTCTCATTATCATTGAGTTAAAAATTATTTAATTAGTTCTACATGCACATATGTATTTGGATTTGGTGTATATATAGATCATATCCTTCAAATCGGAGCTTATAACGAAAACCATCTTTGAAATTCCTTCTATTGAACTAAACACCTCTTTTGGACACTGACACAACCAAAAGATTGATGTCTTCTCCCAAGTGCAGGAGTGTCGAAGTAATAAATAACCCGGCAAGACCGG